TAATACTGTAATTTCTAACTTTTCCTTTGCACTCGCCTTAGTGTGACTGACTCGCACGTCAATCCGCTTGTTGTGCCAACACGAGGAGCTTGGAAGTCTTTGCAAATGCTGCCGTCATTGAAACAGTCGCTCGGTATTGTTCCATCCTCACTCAAACCTGGGTTTCATTTAGTTCAACGGATATCCATCTCAATTTATTCTGCTGAATTTTTTAAGGTAGATAAGGGAGGACCTTCTTGCCTTGACCTCATCGTCATCACAAGGCAGTGTGAGTGTTTGGTTATCGGACTGCAATCGTTTTGGGTTCAGATAGTCTATTTATCTGACATTTTATCTTAGCTTGTTTGATGCAGATATGAAGCTTTGTATGCTGATGATGTGTTTTCTATTGCGCATGTTACAGTTTTAAGGGTTTACATGCGTTTCTGGCAAAGTAATGATTTGGGCTGTTTTTTTTATTGAATTGGGCGGGTTTTAAGTTGTGATTGGGCGAGAAACTGTCACTCTCATCTGACAGCGCTGCTTGTCAAAGTTAAGGATGTTGCGTGCCCATCTATCTTGCTAATCTTCAGATCCTTACTTTGCCTTGCACTACATGAGCTACTTCTGCTTTCACACTAACTATTACCAGAACATTCAATAAACATCTATTGCAAATTACTTGAAGATGGATGAAGAGGTTTTATATATAGGAGATCTTATTTTTTAGAAGCAAGATAAAATCATCAATCACAAACAGACATGCCGCATGACAAAGGACCCAGAAATGATTGTGTAGGTGAGATTTAGTGGTGTTCCCATTTTGAAAAAGAACAAAGATCCCAAGAGTAAAACAACAGTAAGTCCAACCAGGAACATTCCACTTCTTGTCCCCTGAAACCCTAAATGCCTTGCATAAGGGCACTGCTATGATTATTGTTTCGGGGGAGGTGAGTGTTGTTTGAACCCTTCTCCCACTCATTTTCCTGTCACTCTGCGGATTTGATTCACACCACAGAGGTAAAAGCACAATCCAAACCTGAAACCCTGGTGAGAGTTCGAAAAAGGGCAAGAGTGTCAGGCTCGGAGAAACACACAGACGTAGAAAAACAACTCTGAGAGAATCAAAAAAACAACTTTGTTGTGGCGCTGCACCGCGCCTCCTGACACAAGTTGTCATAGAGAAGAGTGCTTGATTGATCATATGCCATTTATTTACTCTCAATCTATCCAGCTTAGATAGCAGCTTTGAGCAACAGAGACATAAATGGAGAAAGTTCACTCTCACTAGAGATGCCAGGCAGGAACAAAAGCTACAACGAATACAGTTTG